GGTTCCTTCCTCCTGAATGTGTAAGAGGATGTACCGCGGAAACCCTGGTCCTCTCCTGTAGTCATAAAGAGAGTTAAAAAAATCAGTCCGAGTGCTATGGTAACGGTAACATATTAGATAGACTGATAGAGATGAGGCAAGAGCATCGGAGCATGTGGTATTCTGAAGAAAATGAGAATCACTGTGGGAATCCCAAAAACTACCTTCACTGCTTTCATCATCATCATCATCATCATCACTGTCCTCAAGATCATCACCATCATGTTCGTGTTCACAGTGATCCTCATCTGTCACTCTCGCTATATATGATGATCCATGCACTTCCACATCATGTTTCGTATTTAATCTTTGTAGCAGTGCACAAGTGGCTCCCTGGTCATACACAGCGGGGCATTTCATTGGGGTTTCACGTAGGAGGACTTAAAACGATGAACAATAATAAATGAGGCCATAAAGGATACATACAGAGTAAGAAGGCTAACCTGCCAGAAAGAGTAACAACCATCAACCAATTTGTTTGTCCTACCTTGAAATCCCAATTCTATACCTTGTCGATGTACAACCCAATCCTAGATGCATCAGATAATCACAAGATTCTTTTCTTTTAAGTTTTGAATCAAGCAAGAAAAAATATTCCATTAATCATCTCAAAACAACTGCAGAGTATCTTACCGTCAAAGAAGCCAAGTCCAAACGGTCAACCTCATTAATTAGAATCATAGCAGCCAACCCACAGAAGGTGTACCTAAGCAACGAATTACAGAGTAAATGTGGGTGAGCACCCCTGAGAAAGGTTGTTCCGAAACTAGATAAGGAGGATAATAAGCACATATAAGCATGAGCCCCCTGAAAAACAAAATTCAAACTGATCAAGCTCTGAAAAAATAGAAGCAAGTATGAAACCATACCCACCGTGAGCTTCAGAGCCAGGTTCCCCCGCAATACCACCTTCGTAGGTTTGACAACTGCTCAGAAGCAGAATACGTCAAAAGAGCTTTGAAAATGAAATAAAATAAATCTCAATTTCCAAACTGTACCACTTTATCACCGCATGTCGACTTTAGATACCGTAATCCTACCTCAAAATGTAATCTCCCACAGCCCGCGTAAGATCACCATCCAGAATGTTCAAGATGCTTGCAACCTGGGTAAAGATAGGGAGGCAAACATATCAGCGAAAGAAAACCAACTCAGATATGTTAGATATCTAATTAGCTAACAATCTAATTTCAACTAAAAGACCATTTCTGATGTGAGCATGAGTCCAGATATTCAAATCATTCATGATATCTTCATGGGAGGCTCAAGCCATGGATACTGGAAGTAAATTGGAGAATTGATCCTAAGTATGGGAATCATATTCAACTACAATATGTTAAGCAATAAGAGAGAGCGAAGCGCAAACTCACCGCAATCGCTGTGTAGCATGCTCGGACATCTATTTCTCCCCGCTCATGCATCCTGAGGATGTTCAACGAGTAAGTCATAGGTTGCTTCAGTTAATGAAAAGACTAAGGGTGTCAGCTAAATGTTTGAATATTAGAAAAATAATCAGGCAAGAGTTGAAGTAGCCCGTTTGAATCGTGACATCAAAGGCACTAAGCAAGCACAAGGGCTGAAGTTGTAGCAAACAAATTGGTGCAGTCAAAAGGTTCAAACAGATAGAGAGACAGAGTCAGACCTGAAAGCTCCACTGCTATCTTTCATTCGTCGTATAAAGTTATACATTTTATCTCTGTAACAATTTCAAATAACATGTGAGTCTGTAATCAGAAGCAAAAACTGCTATTATTTCAAAGAAAATAATCATAAGAATCGACCACACCACCTATTAATCGAAGAAAGGGTTTTGTCACCTCCTAAAGTAACAAGCACGTTCACTGCGGCATAAGTTGTTGCAAGATGTGGCAGCTGAGCGGAAAAGATTTCTGTTACTAGTGGATGTAAGACATCCATACAATAAAAACTCAAACCAAAAAATAACTTATGCATCCTAATTTGATCTGCCATGAGAGGAAGATGTAGAATTCATCAAAACTTAAAATACGGAGTGGCTAGAGATCTTGCAGAAGCAAATAAACTGATCTCCACTTAAGCTTCCAACTTCATGATGATGATAGTGATTCATATGTTTGAAAGTAATAAGTAATCTCAACAAACTATACTTACTTGGCCAGGACCACCACCATATCCACCATCAGGATCCTGCCAGTCCATGACAACAAGAAACTGAGGGTGATTTGAACCAATTTAAAGTAACAATACAAGCAAGGGGGAAGCACATGAACCGATCAAAAGAGACACAAGCAGAGAAAAACGGGATGTGTTAGTCTTTAAGCTTTCCATGGGAACCACCAAAGTAGAAGTAAGCAGAGCAAAGTAATGAAACATGTCTAACCTCACAGCGTCCAAGAAAATCCATGGTATCGTTTTCTAGTTCTTTGTCAACAGACTCCCCGAGCAGTGCAATTGAATGAAGGATCCAGTAGCAAAGCCAAGGTCGACTGTCCAAAACCCAGAAGTCAGGTTCCAGTTCACTCAAAATCCATTCATATCCCAATATCCATACAAACTCATGCATTTTAGAGAACACAATCAAGAACCTTAAATGTCCCGAACACAAGAAAGAACCTTAAATGTCCAGAACATAACGCAAGAAAATGCAAGATGAAGTTCTAATAGAAGAATTGACGAGGATCGATGTACAATAGCAACTTTTAGTTCGCCAATTTATTCATAAAACAACAAGGCAACCAGGTTTTATGTAGAGAAAGCTAGAAGAAAATCACATACTTAGCATCCAATGACGAAAAAGACGGGCCTAGATGCTTTAACCCTTTCATCAGGTAATCTAACTGCTTGTCTCGCTGAATCTCCGCCCTACAAAAAGAATCTATCAACAGTGTGATTCATCTCTAGATGAATTTGCGTGGAAAGATCCCACAGATATACCGAAATTCATCGGATTAATAAGAAACATGCTATAAGCTGAAATCAAATCTGATTGATTTACACGAATTTCTGAGTGGCAAAGTCACTGGAATCGAAGTGACTGTAGATCTGGAAAACATCGTTCTCCACCAGAAACTGCTCACGCTGACTCACGGTGATGCACGGAGGTTGCTCCATAACTCCGCCGCCGCTCCGCCGCCGCGTCAGTGACTCGCTCAGTCGGAGTTTTGCTTTTCTCTGATTTTGCATCGCTTTCATCGAGTCAGAGATCTGGGCTCATCTTTAACCAACGAATTTTGGGCTTCACGTAATACGAAACTATTTCGCAGAACTGGGCCTCAATACTGGCACTTCGCTTTTCGCCCGGTTCTTTCTCGGTCCGGTTCGGTTCGTTCCGGTTAAAATTAAATCTACCGAATATCATTCTTCTTTCACAACACAACCAAATAAAAATATCAAAGGCTTCACCTTTCCAAGGACAACACAAACTGTTTTAAACACATACCTCCTAGAACTCTTACACTCGAATGACTTTCTTTGGTAAACTCTTTTCTTCAACCAATTGATTCGATTCTGTGTATTTAACTCACCGGTTTTTGGTAACTCGTGCAAACCGGAGACAAACCAAGAAAAGAGCAAGAAAAACAGAGGAAGTTACATTCTTGTTCTTTTTTACAACTATTCAAGTTTCTGTCTTCTGTTGCTGAAGGAACTCAAGATCCTTCATTTGCATTTGAATAGCTTCTTTGGATAGTCGTTTGGGCTCGGGAACGACGCTGCTTTCTCCTCCTTCCTCGACTCTCGTGGCCTTTTCTTTGACGATTCTCTGAATCTCAGACTGCTCGACCGACAGGAAAACTGAACTGAGCATCACCTTCAGAAGCTTCTCATCCTCCTCTTCTATGAGTCCTGTCCCAAAGCAACATACATAGATTGCTTCAAGAGCCTTTTCCACTCTTAATTCCATTGGGATTTTCGGAGCAGCCACGTTTAACTTTGCCCTCCTCTGCATTTGGAGAGATCAACAACTAAATTATGGTATTACTCGTCAAGAATTCTATAGTTCTTTGGAGTAAAACCAAGAAAATGAGAAAAGATCATTTGGAAATTGTAACTGAGAGAAAAAAACCTGTCTGGCTTCATTCATCAATGCAATGAAGTTCTGTTCTTCAAACTCGAGATCGTTTGAAATGCTAAGCCTGGCTACGCCTTCAAGGATCTCCTCGGATTTCAGAAGTCCGGCACCGACCGCAGTCACCCAACAGCACAAAAGCACATACAAGGGTTCCCCTGCCTACCCACCAAAGCCACACCCACTTTATCACGCCATAACCCAGAAGAAAAAAACGGAAGTTTATGCTCAAAACAATGGTAAACAATATGTAAAAACAACAAATCCATCACATTTTCTGAAAAAATAGTGTAAAATGCTAAAGCTTTGTTTTGATTGTCACTGTCGTAGACTTCGAGCTCTTCAGAGATTGAGCCTCAAACCAGTAAAAAAAACACCAAATCAGATTCAAACTTCTAACTAAAAGTGAAGCCACTGGTTCCACAGATTTTACTCAAGACAACATTTGAGGAACTTATAATGTTTTATCACATTGAGAATACTGAACTCGATCTCAGATTCATCTTCAACAGAGAGATGAATTCATTGTTCCTTGGGTACTTACTACTACACAGTTGGAACGACTCAGATAGAAGAACTGTAACGAATTAGCAGATAGAATTTCGAAATTCACCTTGCCTCTTCGTTCTTGGAACTCATAAAAAGCCCTAGAATCATCCACCGTACATTTCTTCCCCACTCGCCGCCTAAACTCGGCGAAATCGATTATATCGCTGCCGACACCGCCCTCGTCGCTCAGAATCCTTGCCACGAGTCCGATCACTGGAAGCGAGCCGATGACCTTACTCGCGAAGCTGGAGATGGAATTAGGGCTCTCCATGTAAGCTCGTACGGAGAAGACGAAACCGCCGCGGCCGCCGGAGACCGGCCATCTCCTCCGTCCGGACACCGGGGACGCGGCGGGTATGCGGCGGCGGAGATGTAGGAGAGACGGCGAGATTCGGTCCCAGGAAGTGGGAAGATGGGTCACAACCACCATGGCTGTGATAACGGAAGAGGGACGGGAGCTCTTTTAATGGTTGTAAGGTCCTGACCTCATGTTTTTTATACGTTATCTCGTGGATAGCAAATGTATATATTATTTTTACTTCGTATATTAATCTTGAATCCAAAGTATTCATACGTAAAAAAATTACATGGAACTATATCTATATGAACTTGGATGAGAAGAATAAATCAAACATCACAACTATTTTTTTATTTTGCCTATTCATGAAGCAATCCAATGATAGAATAATATATATTTATCATTATTAACGTTAATGTATAATGTTTTTACAATATTTTCTGAAATTAAATAGAAAAACCGGACTAATCGACTTCTCAATTATTAACAACTCTATGAATACTTGGAAAACCCATTCTGAAATATAATTAAAATACGAATCTTTATAATAAAAAAATATAATTAAAATAAACGCAATAAATGAATATACAATTATAGACACCACAATGGCACGTCCAATAAATAATCATTTCATGGGCCCACTTCCCAGACACCACGAACAAAACCCCGTCTGGAAATTAAAATAAAAGTAAAATTTTAAATTAAATCCAAAATATTAAATTAATAAACCGCCACAAATAAAAACCCTTCCGGTTCTCCTAGTAAATTCAAATCTCCTCAAATCCCCTTCCGTACCCATTCAAGCTTCAATTTCACTCTTTCTCTCGGCGGGCACTGTTGTTTCAGCGAGGGAGTGAGACTGAGAGTTCATCCAATGGGAGCGTACTGTAACGAAGATCTTGATTTGCCGGCATACGCCGCCGGAGCTCCGCCCCAGGAGTTCCGGTTATCGAAGCATGTCTACGACAACGTTCACGGAAACATCTATCTCGATCCTGTAATTTTTCTTCTCGAAATTGTTCGTATTTCTCATGTGGTTTCTAGATGTCGAAATTCTCTCCGTGAAGGTTCTTAGGACTGGTTTCGTGAACAATCTGGTGTTTCAGTGCGTTTGTTTTGTTCGAGTGGAAATTTGATTACTATCGTCGTTTTCTATTTCATTTCATCACTTTATACATTACGTAGGTGTAAGCGAGGCGTGCTATTGTATGCATCGTTCAGAAATTCCGTTTCTGACGTAACTTCTTGTTGTTAATGGACACATTAAGAGTTTTTTTAAAGTAAACGGTAACGTTTTTGTTGTTTGATGGAGATTGTATGTGTTGCTACATGGTTTTTTGGTGTATAAAGATCATTCGGAAGAAGGTTTCAGTTGTCGTATTTGTCAATTCAAATGCGACGGCTTAGTTTATGTTGCATGGCATGAAGACGAGGAATAACTTTGACGATTGAACGAATGTTTGCAGAAGAGTTCCAGATCCTTTGCTAGAATTGCTTTTTGTTTATGTGATTTGATTTTTCTTCTGTGTTATTACAGTCTGAGTGATATTTTACATGGAGGACAAATTGCCCGAGAACGAATCTGAGATCCGCGGAAAAGCAATTAACACTGTCTTTGAAATTTCAAACAGGACTATGTTCTAGTTTTAGGTTGACTCTATTTTTCCCATGTACTAATTATTTTCTGCGTGGATTGCAGCTTTGTTTAAAATTCATTGACACTGAGCAGTTTCAGAGGTATGTTGTTGGATTGTGCTCTGTCTCCCTACTTTGTTCTGTCCTTGACTCATGCGATCTGTGGTTTTGCTAAGTTGATTCTTTAATCTATTTCCTTGTGGTAGGCTTCGTGAGCTGAAGCAACTTGGTGAGTTCGCACCTATCTTGCTCCAAATAGTGATTCTCGTATTGTCAAAATGAATATGTCGGTCTATGAAAAACCACTTGTTTTGCAGAATACAGTGTATAGGAAACGAATCAATAATCTTTTCTAGTGAAATTGAAAGCAGGCTTTTGATGTTAGTGAAGCAACAATAAACCAATAATTTATTTGGTTCCACTGGAAGATTGGTTGTACAGATCAATTTTTTTTTTATCGTTGAACAATCGTATCTTGTTAGGTTACTTCCTTAAGCATATTATGAGCTTTTCACAGTTTGGATTAATTTCTTGAGGGAACTTGTACTTGGTTCAGGAGTGACAGACATGGTATATCCAGGAGCTGTGCATTCCAGATTTGAGCATTCCCTAGGGGTATACTGGCTTGCAGGTGAAGCTGTTCTGAAGCTTAAAACATATCAGGTATTGAACTGCGTATACATGTTTCAGAATTAAAGACAATGCACAGGTATGGTAAGGTTCTTATGTATGTGCTGCTGTCTTTTAGGGATTGGAGCTTGGTATTGACCGCACCGATGTTCAGACTGTGAGACTTGCAGGTAATTGTTGTCAGTTCACTGAGCTCAATGACTGTGATCCTATATCATCCATTTTCTGACCTCCAATCTGTTAATGTAGGACTCCTTCATGATGTCGGCCATGGGCCTTTTAGTCATATGTTTGAGCGTGAGTTCCTCCCAAAGGTTATCTGTGGCTATGAATGGTATGCTGTACATTACTCGATAAAGACTACAGCACTCAATTTACTGCATTGACTTGGTGGATATTCTTTTTCATCAGCTCTTTTAATCGGTAGTTCTTCTCGCATCTTTCTGCAGGTCTCATGAGTTGATGTCTGTAAAAATGATTGACTATATTGTTGATTCACACCACATTGATGTTGATGCTGAAATGATGAAACAAGTGAAGGTAGTATTGCCTTTTTTCTAACGATTGTTCTGATTCTCCTAAGATTGTGTTCTCTAGTATTGAAATTGGAAGCTGTGGCACTAGTTTTTATCTTTAAGAAGTTCAATTGAAGAAGTCTTCCTTCATTTCGTATTTACTGTTCCTTCTTTATTTGTTTACTTGACAGGAAATGATACTCGCTAGCACTGAATTTTCACAGTCGAAAGTAGGTTGTGTCATAACTCTTTTGTTTATTTTGAGCTAGTAGAGCAACTGCTTATGGTTTATATCCCTTTTCTCTCACTTTTTACTCTGCAGAGCAATAAAGAAAAACGTTTCTTGTATGACATTGTCGCAAATGGTCGGAATGGGATTGATGTGGACAAGTAATTCTATCTATTAATAGTTGTTTTAACTGTATTCAGTTTCTATTTCTATTGTACAGTACTGGTTCTTGATTATTTGATCTGTACATTTGTTGTTGAACGTTGATTTTCATTGTCTACAATATTTTACAGGTTTGACTACATTGTCCGTGATTCTCGAGCTTGTGGTCTAGGATGCAATTTCCAATTCCAAAGGTCTTCATTCTGGCTAATAGCCGATCTATTCTTTTTTCTGATAAATGATAATTTCTAACTTTGAGAGCTTCCTAGACTGACAGAGACAATGCGAGTCTTGGGAGATGAAATCTGTTATCGTGCTAAGGATTGTGAGTTTCTTCCATCTAACTTTGGCGTTTAACATATTTGAGCGCTTTTGTACGCTTCTAAACTATGGTTAACTTTGTAGATCTCACAATCCACAAGTTATTTTCATCTCGTGCTGATCTTTATCGGACAGTCTACACACATCCGAAAGTGAAGGTAACATAGCGTGTTCAACATGAGCATTTTACTTTTCCTTTTCTATGCTTTTTTCTCTTTTCAGCATGTTTCTTACCCTGTATTCAAGCTCTTCCTTAACTGCGAGTGTGCTTTTTGAACTGCTGAGGTCTCTAAACTTACACGGTTACACCATCTTTTGCAGGCTATAGAGCATATGCTAGTAGACGTTTTAGTGAAAGCCAACAGTTACTTACAAATTTCTTCGCAAATTGAAGATCCCTCTCAATACTGGAAGGTTCATTCCTTGCTCGTGAAACAGATCATTCCCTCGGGCAAATAATTCCTGGTCTATTTGATAACCTTTGGTCTCCTCGATGCAGTTGGACGATACAATTATCAAAACTATTGAAACAGCACCAGATCCCGAACTTGCCGAATCCCGAGAATTAATTCTTCGCATTCGCAGAAGGCAGTTGTATCAGGTTCTATCTTACTCTTAACCGATGTACATGTTCCAGATATGTAGCAATGTGGATTCCTGGTAGAGTTGGGTTTTTTTTATATACTTTTGTTGTTGCAGTTCTGTAATGAATATGCTGTTCCCAAGGATAAAGCAGAGCATTTCAAAGCTGTCACCGCACAGGATATCATATGTTCCCAGGTTCTGCACTTGTCTTCACAGTATTTGTTCTCAAGGGAACTTTTGAGCAATCCTTTTGTACTTAATATTCTTTTTTTCATATAACAGAAAGACGGAGGTGTGACATTGAAAGAAGAGGATATTGTTGTCAGCAATGTGAAGATTGATTTGGCTCGTGGAAGACAAAACCCGCTCGAATGGTATCATGATCAAACTATATGCTTATTTTTTTCCACCTAACTCCACCGGTTTTATCTCTTTTGCTCGAAATTTCTAACCTCTCTTGCTCGGATCTTTCCAGCATCAACTTTTTCAAGGTACATGCGTCTTCACTCATTAGCAGATTCTATTTCTCCCTTAATGTTTTGATCGTTTTATAAGCTTCTTTGTGATCATTTCATCATTAGCGCCTCTAAAGACTCTGGATGAAACTCTAGCATCTCGAAAATGTCTTATACTTGTTTTCTTTACTCAGGATTTCGACAGCGATGAGAAATTCACGATACCGGATGAGCGAATCAGTCACTTGCTACCAACAACATATCAGGACATGATAGTGAGGGTTTACTCCAAGAAACCCGAACTGGTAGGCCATAAAGCCATCATCCACACATTCACAACCTCATTAATCCACAAAACATCAAGCACTGTTTCGTCTTGTTTCAGGTTGAAGCTGTGTCCGAAGCTTTTGAGAACTTTCAACTGAAAACATACGGCATCAAGGCCCAAGTACACGCTACTCCGGAGAAGAAGAAACGGCGGGTGATGCACAGAATATGCAAATAGGAAAAAGAAAAAAAGAAAAGAAAAGAACGAAACAATACGGCGTCGTATCATATCCACCTGAAAATGCCAAACCACGTGGGTGTTTCTTTTTTCCAGCTTGATCTTGTATATGTGAATGCAAAGGAAACTGTGTTCAGGGCATGGATGGATGGTTTGTTTTGGGATGTACGTATTGCTTCGCGTCATCCTATGAGAAACATAATATTGTAGATTTTTCTGCTTGAACGAATCAACAAATAGCCCCGAGTATCTCACGGACAAAGATGAATATGAAACTCACAAATACAGCTAACATGTATATAGACAGCTACATATGTGTATGCATAAATACGATGATTTGTGTATATAATATTCACAATGTGAAGATGAATATACGAAGAAATTAGATGTACGTATCGATGATACCAGTGCCATTATAGACAGCTTTGTCGTTAGCAATTGTTGTTAGAGAGAGAGAGACAAGAGAAGAGGAGAGCCAAGACAAAACCTATATGATCCATGGGTCATAGAAGTATTGCGTGTGGGGGACCCTTGTAGAAGATAGTCCGCTAGGTTTTGATATATATTATATAAAACCAAGCATGGGGTGATTTTCTGTGTTCAATTCCAACCCATAAACTTAAATTGGAAACGTGACACAAGTAGTTAATTACTTTTAATTAATCTACTAATCAAGTTTAAGCATAAGCTCTTGCAGCTTGTCCATGACTTCCACTGAGTTGTATCCCCGTAGGTTTCGAGGCATTGTCTTCTTCAACCTCTCTTGGTGTTGTCTTGCAGTAACAAGCGTATAAGATAAGCTGTAATGCTCCTGATAATGTTCCTAACCCATTCCCAATCTGCAAAATCCAATCAATGATTAGATTTCACAATTACTTCAAAATAATCGAAATTTTTTCCCGTGATTTCCATCTTTTATATATCTTCATGAGATATGATTACGATTCCAAAAATATCGTACATTAGTCCATGTAGGTATGCGTGTGTGTGTATATATATATATATAAATGTGAGAGAAAAACGTACCAAAATGAAAAGATCAAATTTGATGAGGGCATAAATAACCCAAACAACACCATTAAGGAAGTTGGCTAGCGAGAGAGAGAATGGCATGTATTTTACACTTTTGGTTTTGATCACCTTTCCCTGTTTTGTACAAAAATCAAATATGGGAAAATTTTATTAATTAATAAAGATTAAAAAAAATCAGGGTGAAACGTTATAAATCAGATTTATGGTCGTCCATTATGCACGTCGATATATGGCATCATGTAGAACGCATCCGAAGCCTTGAAACATATCTCATTTTCACCAAAAAATTCAAAATACAGATAAATCATTATTAATGCCATTTTTTTCAAACTATAAATATTCCAATGGGTTTTTAATGATGTTATTATTATGTGAAAATTTAGGCACAATTTGAAATTTTGAAAAAAAAAATATATACGAAAACAATAAAAGAAGAAAGGTTAAAAAGGAAGTATAAATTATAAATAAGCAAGGCACATTACCATGATGGTGAGAGGGGAAATGTACATGAGGCTGACGAAAACAACACAAAGGATCCCAACCACAGAGGATCTCTGTTTATGTGTGTGGAATAATTGCAACGTGAGTGTCGCCACAATCCCCACAAACACCATCTCCACCGCAAGCCATATCCCCACTTTTACCTGCCCATATACATCACAATACAACCAAAAACCAAGAAACTGATATACATATATGTATACGTATGTATGTATATGTGTATATGTATGTATGGACATTTAACGTCGTACCCTACGGTTTTTGGGGGCGAAGAACAAGTAGAAGGAGATATAGAAGAGCTCAATGAGAAGGCCAGTGGCGTTAATGGTGATGACGAGAGTGCTGTCTGGCGTGACCATTGGTAATCCGTAGAACACCCAAAGCGCGCAGTTTAGAACTGTCGCCAAGTACGGATCCGCTTTGTACTCTTCTACGCTTCCCTTCTTGTATATTCTTACGAACGTTGGTCTGTCTCCATATACCATTACATATATATATATATCCACCTTATATTATTACCATTTTCATATTACTTGATCTTGCATGTCTCTATATATTCTTTTCCATAAATAATTCAAGGGGCAACATATAGTTTTCAAAAAAAATTCTACCAGCGTGTAAATGCAGAATAAATTGATCTATACATCGGTATATACATATACTAAGCCTTAGTAGATGTTTGTGTATGTGAGTTTGTGTGTGGAAGAAGCATAAAGAAGAGAGGTTGATGAATTACATGGGCGATGCAAACAAGAAGAACGAGATGACATTTCCTGTGAAATAAACCAAATTAAAACGTTAGAGCTAAGACACGAAAAGAGGTTACTTATCCTACCACATAAATATATACATACAATAACATATGTATTTGTATGTAATATGCATACTTGGGCTTTACACAAAGGCATATATATATGTGTATGTATATGTTTGTGCTTACCAATAATGCCAACGATGTTCCTCGCAACCGTCGCGCTAACCATTTCTGCAACAAGACAGAGAGAAGAAGCCAATCTTGAAATGTTTCTGGGGAGAGAGTAGGAAGAAGAAGGAAGAACGAGCGTGAATATGTGATCTATATCTGGCTATATTTATATAACAAGGTCGTATATATGTAATGTATATACGCATATGTGATCGTACGTACGTATATATAATATGAGGAAGAGAAGTTCAAGAAGCTTAAGGAATTGAAATGAAAATGACCCTCAAACTCTTTCCGTTTCAGGAAACAATCATTATATTTATCTTATTCCCTTGCAGGTCCAATTTCTCTTTGGATTATTCTTCTTGGAACCATTAGGCCGGCCATATATGGCTCCATCTATACTACATACTACGCACGTGTATATGCATAGGAACATACACATACGTATAGATACGCACGTGTATATCAGTTTCATGGCCGTTGTGTAAAACAAAAAAAGAGGTTAGAAAGGGTTGATGCACGTGAATTTATAAGCGGGCGAGCTGAGGAAACCGAATCACGCTACGTCGATTTTCTTTTGTTTTGATACATATATATTATATGATTCGATTTCATGGGTTTCATATGAGTAAGGCCTAACGACCCTCTCCCTCTCTCTCTCTCTCTCTCTCTCTCTCTCTCTCTCTCTCTCTCTCTCTCTCTCTCTGTTAAGTAAAAAAGTCGACATTTTACTTGCAACGAGATTAGATATTTTGTAAATTTTATACGCATGCAAAGTGTGTTGATCATATTCTTTTTCCTTTTTGACCGAGTGCGAGTAGAATAGAATTATAATCCGAATTCTATAGAGAATAATAAAATTTAAAGGAGGGGACAAAAAGGGTAGATTCACCGTATCATACAACAAGCATATATATATATATATATATATT